TTGAGTTTCATTTGGAATTGTGAACAGCTCTTCTTTGATTTTTTAGAACGTTAGAGAATTTTGATCTGAGTTTCTTTCTAAAAGTTTGGAAGTGAATTATTGCTCTTTTTTAAAAGTTTTTTTATCTAGGAATTTAATCGGATTTGAGTTCTGGATGTAGTTTCATTATAAATTGAGTTCGAAGGTGAATTATAGAAGTATTGCCTTTCTTTAAAAATTTTTTATCTAGAATTTAATCGAGGATTTGAATTCTGGATGTAAATTGAGTTCAAAGGTGAATTATAGAATTTTGACCAAAGACTTGAGTTTTTTTGGAGTTGTATAACTCTTCTTTGATTTTTTATTTGGAATTTCAGAACATAGAATTTTGATCTGAATTTTTTTCTAAAAGTTTGAAAGTGAATTGGAAGTATTGTTCTTTTATTAAAAATTTTCCATCTAGAAATTTGATCGAGGATTTGAGTTCTGGATATAGTTTCATTATTATAAATTGATTTCGAAGGTGAATTATTGAATTATAGAATTTTGACCGAAGATTTGAGTTTCTTTTGGATAGCTCTTTTTTTGATTAAAATTTTATTTTGACTTGAGTTTCTTCCTATAATTGTAAGTTAACTTCAAAGGTGAATTGCTCTTCTTTTCTATCTAGAAATTTAATCAAAAATTTGAGTTTCTTTATAATTCCATCGTAAATTGAATACGAATGAATTACAGAATTAAAGACTTGAATTCTCTTAAAACTTTTTATTTTAACTTGAATTTCCTCTTATAACTCTACGTTAACTTCAAAAATCAATTACTGTTCTTTTTTAAACAATTTTCTATCTATCATTTTGATTGAGAATCTCTTTTTGATCCAATTGATCTTGAAAACGAGATAGAAGTGCTTTATTGCCCGTTTTAGTGAAAATTTGATATCTAAAATTTTGAAATAACGGCGAAAATTCTCTTTGTCGCTTCTCTTTATAGAAATTTTTCATAAAATATGTCGAATATTTTCGTTTCACTCAATTTCTTCGCAGAATTTTTTTGACATTTTCATTCCTTTCTCTTATTTTATCCCACAATAACAGTTTTATTAACTCGGAGCAAACTTTGAACAAAGAGACGTTCTTGTTCAACAATTGTTCAGGTTATCCACACTGCGCCACAATCGATGTTTATTTTCATCGATTTACATGCAGATTCAAATCATTATTGATGTATATCGGGACGGATAAAAGCATTTGCATACGCGTTTTATTATTGAAATTTCCAATACAGTTTCCCCATGCATTATTTGACGTGAAATCGTTTATCTTGTTCCTTTGGCAACATCGAAGAAAGGAGGGGGCAAAGGAAACTGTATAAAACTGTGCACGACACGAAGTTATTCGAGATTACGACTCAGAAAAAAAAAACATCCCTTTTTTTTTTTCTTTTTTTGATTTCAATGGTGCCATACAATAACACACCCGAGAAAGAATTTGTTTAAACGAGACGGGGAAATATTACAATCCATAAATCGTCTCTCTCCAGATAAAACTCTTCAAATTTCACTAGTCAACCCCTCGTTTCGTTTAAAAATACTATCTCGTATTTTTCTTTTCCTTTCTTTCCTTTTCTAAAAACGCGTCATTGTTAATTGCACGAAACTCCCTTCCCCTCTCATACTTTATCCCCTTCGATGATCCATGATCCAGAAAAATTCCAAAACAAAACTTTCAATAAAAATTTTTTATTCGTTTATTTCGTTTGTTTCGTTCGGATCCTTTCCTCCCTAGATAAATTCCTCGCGGCAATTTTTATCAAAATGAAAATTTTAATAATCTCTTCTCGTCGAGCAGAGTACATCGACTTTTCGATTTTTCGAAAAAAGTGTTAAACGAACAGTTTTGATTCCCTCGAGCGGAGAGATGGAACAGCGTCAAAGAGTAGGGTGTACGATATTTTGTTTCGCGAGGAGGGGGTGAAAATTTCACAGCTCGAACGGTGGGGTAAAAGAAAAGGAGAAGAAAAAGGAAAGCGAACCAGCGACTGGGTCAATACTCGAATATATAATGGTTAACGAGGGGCCAATCAATCGATAACACAACAAGAAAACTGTCGAAAAGGTGGAAATGTCTGTCGCTCTCTTGGCTCTTAGGGCTGTCATTACTTTTCAACCGGGATAATCCCGCGCAATTACGCAGGGCGAGGACGGGCTCTTCGAAAATAACCGATCGCCGGTGAATTCGTATCGATGGCCAATTGTTAGATATCGAACGGAAGCGGAATAAAAAGAACGACGCGACGAGGAGAGCGATGGAGGATTCAACGAGCCTCGACGCGAGAAATAATTGTATTCTCTCTGAAAAATAAATAACGAAGAAGAAACGTGCGTGTAAATAATTAAAAACGACGTCGATTCATCGATTAATCTCGTCCAATTACTTTATCGATCGATTTCAAAAATAGATATTAAAACGAGATCTCGAAAATTCTTAAAGCCTAAACTTCGACTCCTCGCAAATAATAAAAAAAATAAATTGGAACTGAAGTAGAAATCGAAACTGGGCGAGTTCAAAGCGAAAGAAAAGCAAGAGAAATTTCGAGTATTATTAAATTTTACCACGCGTAAAATCTCTCCCATCCACGATCGAGATCGGGAAAAAATTATTCACCCGTCAACCGATGGTGAATAGTTGGAGGGGAAAAAGTTGGTAAGTAACACCGTGATCGCGACAAGGATGGCGGATGGAATACGAGGAGAGAAGGATGGAGAAGGTGGCTAGGTAGGTAGTTGTTATCACGGTCCCGTGATAAGTGAGAGTGCTCAGACTCTGCACGGTGCTCGTATACCGTTGCGGTGCTCTTTCATAACGATCAAGCCCCTAGAAACCGCCGCCCCACCACGTCTTCCCGAACGCGTCTCACATTTTTGTCACCCTCTCTCGCGCTGAGAGGGTCGGGGGAACGACCCACCGTCGCCTTCCTCCACCCTATTTTTCTCGTTAATTCTCTCCGGCCTCGCTCGTAATTGATCGTTACCTAAAAGTTTATAAATACACGTACACAGAGTGGCGCGTGAAATTAACCGATTAATCTGTTAGTTTTTTCCTCGTCCCGGGCAAAATACACGCGACGGATATACGACGAGATATAATTATTTTATTCGCGCGTTCACGTAAGTTGGCCATTCAACGGGCCGCCGTTGCGAGCTTTGAAATAAATATAGTTACACGTGGCCAAGTGTAATTTGCGGTACACCCACCACCCGGGATATTATCCTAATTATTATGTTAATTAATGCGTCTGAATTTAACGCTGGAAACATTTACATTTAACGGGTTACATACCCGAATACGGGGAATATTTCGAAGGGAGGAGGGATGATGCCTCGGGTGAACGCGTTGTCTGTAATGGGAATTTTTTTCTCTTTTTCAATTATTTTTCAGTTAATTCGAAAATTCAAATTTGGAGAATGTATCGTAATCGTTGAAAAAGAGTATAAAAATATTTCGATTATATCCGTTGAGAAACGGGATATAATTATGAACAGTGGAACAGTAATTTGCTGTAATATAATCAGCATTCACCATCGATTTTATAAATCGTAGAGAGTATAAGTAGTCGCATTTATACGCTAAGTATAATGCTTATCGAACGTCGCCGCCTCGTTTTTCCCGATATTCCAGTCAATTTTATAACTCTATTAAGAGTAAATTAATGAATTCTGTCCGCAAATATTGACAACCGAGTAACCTTCTCATCGAACGAAAAAATAAGATTAGATAAAACAGCTTTCCTGTATTACGTTCTTCTATTATGATTCGATGAAACGTGATAAAACTCTCTAGAAAAAAAAAAAAAAAAAAAAAGAGGGGAAAAACGAAACGTTAAAATAGATACTTTGCGAATTAAAAGCTTTTTACATCCAGTAACGAAATTAAATTACCCTTCAATAAATATTCCATCATTTTGATACGTATCACTTATCGGGAATTAATTTATTTCCCTTCGTTTCGAAACATTTATTAACCATAATTCTATCAAAAAAAAAAAAAAAAAAAAGAAAGAGAGAAGTTATTCTAAAATAATTTTATAAATTTTTATCTACTAGGAAGAAGAGAAAATTATCGAATTATTTAATCTTTTCGTTGCAATTCATTTGTCAAATTTTCTTAGAAAAAAAAAAAAATAATAATCTCAAAAATTCGAAGAAAAATTCGAAACGGATTCCTCGAAAATTCCCTGCTCAATCGCGCGTAATAGGAAACGATCAAGAACGATCGTCTCAACGTTTCCACGATACATAATCTTATTTGACAGCAGCGTGGTCCGTAGTAATGTAATTACACGCTGCACTCGACGTATTTTATACATATATATATATATATAATTGTATCGATTGGTGATTCTTATACACGGGTCCGACCGCAATTCGTAATTATCCACGATGAAATCGATAAAGCGTGAAATTGAAATTTCAATTCGGGCCGAACGTTGAATACAGCCCCGTCCAGGGTGCAGCGGATCCACAATGCAGCGGAGAAACATCGTGAAATTATGACCCACCACGCGAAAAACTTATTGTATCTTGTTCGATTTTGAAAGAAAGAAAGAAAAAAAAAAAATTAAATCCACGAACTTTCTAAGAACGATTAATGGAAAGAGACGATAATAACAGATAAAATATATCCCGATATATAACGATAGAGAATTTCACGGGCTGAGAACAAGGTGGCGCGCACGACTCGCCAATTACAGATTCAACGCTCCAACGTCCCCGAACTTCCAACTATCCGCAACACGGTTTAAGATACAGTTCAATTAATTAAACCAAATCTAATTTAGCTTGATTAAGCTAACGATGTCTAATGTAGTTTAATGTAATTGCTTCGGTCGGAGGAGAGGACGTGGATCACCCTCCTCTTTTATTCTATCGATCTTTCATCTCGCGCCTCGACCTCCTTCGCTCCCGCTCTTCTCCTTCCTCCTCCTTCGCGAAAGCCTTATTTGAATATGTATTATCACATTACCGATGTAGGTCCTCGAAACCCGGATGTAATATGTTAATTGACGTTTAAGCGATCCCCCCCCAAGAACTCCTCTTCTCCCTCTCTCTCTTTCCCTCTCGTTAAATACCGAGTGGACTTCTTTCATTTCGTTCGAGGATGGCGGAGGCGTAGCACTTGGGTACAAATTACGAAGTTACCCTAATTCCTCCTCCAGTGTTTACCTTTAAAGAAGAATTCCTTTCTCGAGTTTTCTCGCCCCGTTCCTTCCAATCTTTCCGAGGAAATGGTCCGCGTTTTAAATATGGAAAAGTATGGAGAGATCTTTTCGAATTTTTGTCAATACACGAATTTCTCGAATTTTTCTTTTTCTTCTTTCAGTTTCAACAACGCTTTTGTATTTTTTTCCTCACGGAGGAAATGTCGCAATTTCGCAAAGTCGGAAAGAGTTGAAATAAAACGGGGAAGGGAGGAGGGAGGGAACTTATAATTTACGTTATCTACGGCAAATGGGAAGCTACGTGTGCTGCAAATGTAAAATGAAAGCCACCTTTTGATAGCCCCGCGCAAAAGCGATATTAATGAGCTTGAGTGAATGCAGGTCAACCCTATCGCGCAGGCCACCTACTACCCCCTCCCCCGCCTCCCCGGTGAAAAACACTGGAGAAATATGATAGTTGGCGTTCGACGTGATACCAAAGTAATTTTCATCGGGATATACATCATTATCATTTTATATATATATATATATATATATATATATATATTTTTCATTACGTACCGACCGTGAAATTAGCGATGTATAATATTTTTTTCTTCTTTCTTCTTTTTCTCCTTCCCCTTTCCCTGTCGAGTTTCATCGTAACCGTGCACGTCGTAACATTTTTCGGTTAATTTTTCCGCGACGCGGGGGTGAAAAAAGGAGAAGGAGAG